AAAATGCATAATTAAAATAAAAATTTAAGATAACTTAGGACAATCACGACCGTCGATCTTTAGCTCCACCTCAGATAGGCATGGACGGTTGGTTATCCGCATCATTGTGCACCTTCTTATTAAATCAAGTAAGACCTACAATAGGGGGGTGGGGGGGGGGGTAAAATAAAAAATAAAAAAGTAAGACCTACAATATATAAAACTATGTACTACCAATGCTTTTTCAAAACAACGCCTGAGCTTTTGGATTTAAAAAATGTCCTTTTTATTAAATCTAAATAGTGAAAAACACAAAAAATCCAATAAATATGAAGATATTTGTCTATTAAAAAATTTCCTGTAATATCATGGAATTTATGTTAGCATAAAAATTAATTCTTCGTATGAAATAATGTAGGTTTAGGTTATGACTAACCTACAATAATATTTTCAGCTGTATTATCAATAACAACTTGGATTACATTATATGGCACAATAATCTCCATATATTTGCAAAATAGTTCAAACATTTTCACAGCATTCTTGGAAAAAGAACTGGCATCCATTGACTTTATAAATGCAGAACCTCTTGGACAATTCACAAGAAAATTTATTAAACTCTTCCCATTACTTGATATCCATCCATCCGCCATTAGAGAATAACCATATAGTGCACAATCCTCTTGATGACGTCGTAATAGTTCATGTGTATGTCTAACCTCTTTCTTCAAACAAGTAACTCGTACCTCATGATAACTAGGAGATTTTATTCCAAGTCTAAACTGTCCAAGTGCCTCGACCATAGTAGGAAAACTGGCATATCTCACAACATTAAATGGAATACCAACATCATACATCTATCTTCTAAAAACTTAAATAGCCCTTTACATCATTTCCTTTTTAGCCGCGTCCATCTCTTTGCTAAATTAACCTTTTCTCTGCTTCACTACATCTTCAAGATTTGGTGTAAGATAAGTATTTAATGGTCCTTTAGGTCTTGATGATTTGAGGATTAATGCTGATGTTGAACTCTAACTAAAAGCGTTGGATTTGTTTGGCCTTAACATTTTGGATTGACCAACATCTAGAAAATCATCAAATTGCCATGACATCAAAGTCATCTTCTTCATCAAGATTAACATTTGAAGTGTCATTAATATATTCTTTTTTATTATTCTTATTCAACATGGATACCTTAATCTCAGCCTTAACATGCTTGGGGTAATTAGAGCAAGATCTATCATTTCTAAAACCTCCAACAAGGTGTTGTTTGTGGCGTGTTATTCCTCCTTTCGTTATTTTGCCACAAAAAATACATGTTACAATATTGTTATCAACTTCAGTAATCAATACTACATATTTCCATGCTGGATCCTTTTTTAAATATTGTATCAACTAGAATTAAGTTAAGTGTTGCAAAGATGAGGATGCTTAGGTGGATGAGTGGCTTCACACTTAGAGATAGAATGCAAAATGAGTATATTAATGAAAATGTTAGAGTAGCTCTAGTGGCAGATAAGGTTAAATAGAGTTTACTTATATGGTATGGTCCCATAAATGTTAGCCTTATAATGACACGGTTAGGAGAGTAGATGTATTAAATTTGGTCTATGTTAAGAAAGGTTGAGATAGATCTAAAAAGATTTGGTTATAAAGCACTAGAAATGACCTTTTTTTAATTAAATTTAAATGAGAATTTAGCTCTTAACATGATATAATGGAGAAAAATTATTCATGCAGTCGACCTCACATTGTGGATAAAGGTTTGATGTTGTTGCTGTACTATATGAAAAAAAGATACAAGTAGTTTAAAGTTTCTCGATAATTTATTTCTTCTAAAAGTGTTATTACTAATTTGAGGGTATTGAAGATGAAATGCCAACTAAGGGATTATTTGTTAGGGAGATATCTTTTAGGAAGTGATCTATTTCTAATTATGATAGAAGTTTTGTGGTAGTTAAACTGATGTGACTTGATTCTATTTCAAGAAGGAAGTGTATATGAAGATGATTATCATGTTTTGAAGATGGAGTAACATGCTTAAGAAATATAATTTAGCATATGTTAGTGTTATCATAGATTTCTTTGGCTCAACTGTAAGTAATGTCGTGTTGATGCTTGCCGGAAATATATGCAATTATCAATGAATTTTAGACTCAATTTGTTCATATTATATGTTTCTTAATAAAGAATTGTCTTTCATTTATGAGCCATATTCTAGTAAAGCTATGTTCATGTGAAAGCTAATGTGGCATGTACAGTAGCTGGTGTTGATAGTCTGTGAAATTAAGGATGTATGATGGTGTGATTAGGATATTGATAAGAGTCAGGCATGATTGAAATCTTAAAAGGAGTTGTAATTTTCTGGTGTTCTTAATGATGTTGGATGGAAACTCTTTAGCTATGATGCACGGACACGGACACGACACGACACGGAGACGGGACACGGTTTTTTTTGAAAATATAAGACACGGGTACGGCGCGGACACGGCAATATATTTTTTTATATAGTGTATATATATTAATGTAATATCATATTAAAAATGACAAACAATTATAAATGAATAACATTATAACTTGTCTAGCTTATAATATAAATATTTAGTACAAAATATATAGTACAACCACAAAAATATAAGCAAACAATCACTTACTACAACATCAAGCATTCAAGTTTCAACTATTAGGATTAGCTTTAGAGGTTTGTTTTTGGCCTTCAATATCATCATCATTGAATATCACTGCTTTCAACTTTAGTTCAACAAGAGAAAGATTTATAATTATGCAAAAAGAGAGATGAAAATACCTTCACTGCCAAAGAGAAATGAAAATGAGAATATTCGATAAATGGGTATTAAATGCAGATGTTGATTTGATGTTGTGGATAGGAAATAAGAAATTTAGTTTAAATATCGCTAAATATAAGAAATTATATTTTTAAAAAAATTATAAAATATTTAAGATACGCGTGTGGGACATGCGTGTCCAATTTGTTTTTAATATTTTTTTAATCGGACACGTTTTCGGCGTGTCTGACACTTGTCAGTGGAGTGTCAGACGAGTCTCGTGTCGGACACGGTGTCGAACACTGCACGCCTCTTTGAGAAGAAGTGTCGGTGCATCATAGCTCTTTAGACATTAAGAAGTCCATAAAGTTTTGTAATGTACTTTGGTTTTCATAATGGTAAAGAGTTTTGGTGAACTCTATGTTGCAAGGTGCAACTTCTGGTGGTGTTGCTTCAATTTCATTATTTTTGTTGGAGAACCATGATTTGAGGAAGAAGACTACTTTTAGCTTCTTAGCTATAAGATTGGTTTTAGAATATAAAGGAAAGGTACATGTTATGGTGGATATTACTGGAGATGATCATATGGATTGATTTTATGTTGCTCTGTATGTCGTAGTACCAGGCGAAGTTATTGAAGGATTAAGAGTGAGGGAACTATCACTTTTGTGGCATGGAAGTTTAGGGGAAAGTGCACTTTAATTTTAATTGATCCATTTAGTGTGCAGCAAATGTATTTCAGAGGTATCTCATGGGTGTTTGGTCTATTTCTCAATTAAGCTTGTTGAGATTGTGTTGTTATTTAGTCCTTCAAAGCTTTTGGAGCTTACTTTGCATGGTTTGGATAGGAAGAGTCAGAGTATCACAAATTTGATTTGAGGGTAGAGTTGTCTAGAATCATCTCAAATAGTGAGGTTGGCCTCAGGAATTATCCTAAGATAATTTTGATTAGAATCGCTTCAGGTCATACAAATTAATAGCACAGGTCAAATTTTGAATTGCGGTGATTTCTGATTTTTAATGGAACTAAGTAGGCTTTGTTGACTTTAGGCCCATTTTATCTATAATAGGGAAAAGCTCAGATGTCTTAGGCTTTGTTTGAGACAGTTTTCTTGCTATTTTGTAAAATGGCTTTCTAGCACAAAAATATCTAATTCAAAAAATTTGTATTTGAAAGCTGGTTTACAAAGCAGCAAAAAAGCTGTCCCAAACGAAGCCTTAGTTTACAAGATCCATCCATTACACATGGAATTAATTAAAGGTTCTTAACAGATTGATAATTTAATGCTCGTCTGTATAAATTAATTAAGGCATGAGTATTTTAGGCTTTCTTAAGTTCTGAATAGAGAAGAGGGTGATGAGTGAATCTGAAGCAAGACCTTCTTCCATCTTGTATGAATTTTCTGGTACTTGTTTGAGGGGCCCTAGGGCAGAGAATTTTTTTGAATGGTCTAGGTCTTCTAATGTTTTTATCTCGTTTGTGTGATTGCTTATTTTGATAGATATGGCGCTCCTGTTTTTTGGTGAGATGGTTATATTAGGGCTTAGAGAATATTTATTTTGGGGTGCTTTTTTTTATTTATATAACTGTGTGGCTTCTCTATGTTGAAAAAAAATTATCTTATCTATTGTTAACATAGGGTTTTCTTTGTTATAATCATATAATTCTTGGTGTTGTCTTGTGAAGTTTAATTTCTTTAGTATTACTTTGTATGCTCATGATATCCACTTTACTAATTGTTGGTGCTTCATCAACTAATATTTAGTTAAGCTTCAAGAAGAGTTACTCTTAGGATTGAGAGCTTCATGTTTTCTTTTTCTATTCTGATCCAATGGTATTTTTCTGTGAATCAGCCTCAGAAACCCAGTTAAGGACAAAGAGAGAGATCTACTTGTGATTATATCACAGTTTAATCTAATTCAAATCACCTAACAGCTTCGGAAATGGTTTTTATTTGGGAGTTTTGATACTGAAAAGTGCAATCATGCATGATTTTAATTTTTTTTTTTATACTGAAGGGCTTTTTAAGGAAATTGGCTGAAGTTAGTGTTATGTTGATAACAAGTTAGATGAGAAAATGTTATGGAGATTATTCTTCTTAAACAAATTTGATAGGTTGTTCTTAGATTTACTACTGGAGGGTTCTAATTGAACTTTATTTTATAACTGATGATGCTTTATTTCTGTTTTGCTTTATTCTATGCATAGTTCATTCGGCTTTATTTTATATTCAGGTGCAAGTATACCGAAAATGAATGAAGCTGCATGCACGGATTTTGAGAAGTATATCTCCATGAAGTCTAGTAACCTTTCATCAACATTAGAGCAATTGTACATGTGGGAGAAGAAACTGTACAAGGAAGTCAAGGTATATTTCGTAGCATTTTTTTCAATGTCTATGCATGCAGTAGGGAATTTTATGCTTTGTTAGCTAGGCTTGGACTCCCATTTTTTCGGTCAATACCATATATAGCTTCATATGCAGAGTGTGATAGCTTTTAAAATTTACCATTCGAAGGTCAATTGAACGCGCCTGTAAGAGGTACAAAACAGGATCATGTCTCTAATAATTTTGAATTTTGAAACTTATCAGTTGATTGGCTACAACCATTGTCTCAGAAATGGGAAATTTAGCCTTAATTGTTAGTTTCTTGGATTTATAAATATGTTTTGGAGCAGTAATTCTTTAAAAAATTTTAAGTGAATATTAAGCTATATGCTAGTTTCTATTTTTTTTTATACTAAAGTTGATTGAATTGGCTGAGGTCATAAAACTTTTTCCAAATACTTGAAAGTCTTGTCGTAAACTTTACACTCCTTTTTCTAATTAGGGGTTGTTTGGTTTGAAGTAAAAGAAATGTAAAGTATTCCGAATGTCAGTTTTAAGAGTATTGGTGTTTGGTTTGAAGTAAAATAAGTATAATATCGGATTTTGGTGCATTTTGAATTCACTCTTTAGTTCATTTTTAGTGTATTTGAAATTCCTCATATTTGAGCGAGTTCCAAATATACTAAAAATTCATTGCAATTGTTGTCGCCTGTTGCGGCCACACATCGCCGCCAACTACCATCACCTGCCTCCGCCGACACCCACTGCTTCCGCCATTGACATCCACCACCCGACTGTCACCGACAACAACTATCGTCGCCCGCCACCATTGGCCACCACCACTAGCTCTGAAGACCACCGCAATCGCCTCCTGTTGCTATCCACTGTCGCCCACCGTAGCTGGTCACCACAATCAGCGAGCACCCCCACCCACCGTCATCACAGGACACCATTGCCACTTTGACCACCACCAATGTCGCCACCCACCTCTAGCCAACACCGTCACCGGCCACCACCGTCCACCACCATCGGTCATCGCTAGCCACCACCGTCGCCAATGTTAGTCACCTACCACCTCCCTCTTGGTACTTTACAGTGCATTTATTTTACTTCAAATCAAATAAAAAAAATTCATGCATATCTTTTATACTCATCCAAACAAATCCAAAGTATTCCTTTTACATTGCATTCATTTTACCATGCATTTCCTTTTCAGCCAACTAAACAGCCATAAACCATTTAGTTCATTTTTGAGATAAACTAAACTCACTCAATTATGAGCAAAAGTCATTTACATTGCAAGCAAGCTCACTTGACTGTCGCCACCCCCTGTGGCCACCTCCACCCCCACCCCCACCATCGTCGGCCGTTGTTGGCCAACACCTTGCGTTATTATCGTCGGCCCGTCTAAGGATTTTTCCACCATCCACAACCACCACCACTAGTAAGACTGCCCACCACCTTCGCGCCGGTTGTTGCCATGGCACCCGCCTTCGGGGTCTCCTCCATCTGTCCCTGCGTTGTCACAGCCTGTCGCTTCGGCTTCCTTTCGCTGTCGCCCCCCATTGCTATTCCCACACCACCTACCAACCACGACCATATTTGGACTTTACCACTATCATACATTTTTATTTAAAAAAAAAAATTATGCATTTACTTTACACTGCTTCAAAATAACTGCTAAAGTATTTCTTTTACCACTACATTTATAAATCTAGGAGGTCTCTATTTGGCCTAACCTACAATGATTTGATCACTACTTTTTGTATCTTATGGTTTGGTTAAATGCACTGGGCTATCAAGCCTTATAATTATATAAACATTTATCTGCTGCATTGTAAAGTTTGCCTACTAAAATTGGATACATAAAATATTTGAAAGTAAGAATTTATTTTAGAAGTATTTTTAGAATAAAAGAAATCTATTGTAATATTTTTTATGATGCTTGTTGCCCAATTTTTAGGAAAAAAATTTTCTTCTATGATTTTGTTTTCTAATTTTTTTATTTGTTAGCGTTAATTTTTAATAAGAATGATAATTAAAAAATTCTTTAAAACTGATTATTCTCATATTTATGTTATTCGTATCAAAGTCTAAAATTTAAAGCAGTTCATCTCCTTTTTTAGTTTTAAATATTGCCTTTTAAAGATGGATGAATGTTTAAAAATTGCTATAAGGGTTTCTTTATCCTTTTAAACTGATAATAGTCCATCTCTCGTCTTTAAATATATATATATAGTTCTACATTATTTTAATATCTTTTAATTTTTTTTTTAATTTATACCTCTAGGAATATTATATCTTCCAGAGATGGGTTCACCTCAATTGCTGTTGTGGATTAAACTTTGAAATTAACCTAAGCTGCACTCGTTAGTCTTGCCCAATTCTCTATCCTTTGTACTAGCTGCCAACTATTTGAACTCCATATAAATATGTCAAAACATCTTCCTTAAACTGTTACATGCATGCATCTCAAGATCTTTGGTCAACGGCCCTAGTCCAAGCTTGAATGGGGAACATCTACACTTGACTTTTGGATCACACTTCTTCTTCACTTGACTTTTGGATCAGACAAAAATATCAAGTACTGCACACCATGGTTTAAAATTGCGCAATAAGAGACACGCCTCAAGGCGCGCCTCAGTGCAATTTCGCCCATTTAAGCCTCAAAGCCTATGCAATGAGTTCAAGATTTGAGGCGTACGCCTCAAGTTTACTGAGGCGCGCCTCAGCTCACTGTTGAGAGGCGTACGCCTCTAAAATTTGTTTAGAAAAGCTAACCTAATATATATTTGTTCGGTTCAGACCCCCTAACCCCCACGCTGTCTTCCGTTATTTCCCGAAAATAGGTTTTCTCCCTTCTTCTTCGAGCGACATTTTTCCCTCTTCGTTCGGCTTCGGCGTCCTTCCACATTGAGTCGTTCTTTGCTTATTGCTTGGAGTTATCTTCTACTGCGAGTTGGGTTGGAGTTATCTTCTATCGCCAATGTTTAAAATTGCGTATTCGGGTATTGAGACGTTTTTCATTCGTGAGGCGAGGCGTAAGCCTCAAAATCAAAAGATTGCGTAAATATAAAATGATAAATTTGTTATATACTAATGAGTGCATAATATAAAAACATAAAAAAATATAAGATATGAAGTGAAATCAAAATATCTCAATAATAAGACAACATGAAGTATAGTTCAACTCAAAATTCTATCTTTCTGAAATCCCAGTATTCTTTTCATTAACATATAATTCCGATTTCCCAAAATAAATAGCAATGACATATCACATAAGAACTCATAAGTCATCAGCACTGTCATCACTAAGGGGTTCTTCATTTGAATCATTATTATAGTGAATTGCTCTCTCCTTCCTCCTCTCCTATAGAGTCCAATGTCGGGCATTTACTTCAAGATTTATGTAAGTTTTAATATATATAGCGTGAGGCGTAAGTCTCATGCCAGTGAGGCGAGGCGGGCCTCAACCACGTTGAGGCGCAAGCCTCATAAAAAAAACTCGAGTCGTAAGCATCGAGGCGTTTTTTACTAGAATTGCGTAAAGGCGGGCCTCAAGACGAGCCTCATATTGCGCAATTTTAAACCATGTTTATCGTGACCTTTTTCCCTCTTCGCTTGGCATTCGCTTTCCTCCACATTGAGACCGCTAGGTATATGCTCAGTACCACTCGGTACAATAATGTTTGGTACCACTAGGTACATGCTCAGTACCATTTGGTACCACTCAATACCGAGGAGGTACATGCTCGGTACCGCTCAGTACATGCTCGGTATCGAGTCAGTATTGCTCGGTACCGAGCAGTATATGCTCGATACCGAGTGGTACATGCTCGATACCACAAGGTACATGCTCGGTACCGAGCAGTATATGCTCGGTACTGAGTGGTACATGCTCGGTACCGAGTGGTACATGGTCTGTACCGCTCAAAGTTACTCTTACAATAAAAATTTTTCCCCGTCAGGGGGTAGCGCCCCCTTGGACCCCCGGTAGACTAGTATATTGTTGTATTCATCATTTTTAGTAGTAATTGTTAGTGTTAGTCTGCTTCTTCATGAGTGCATGTTTATATAAGTTTTCTTAATATAGAATAAGTGAAGCATTATGTTTAGGGGTTTGATATATTGCACTAATATATTCTTCTCATAAAGGATGGTCAGAAGTAAGGATAAAGCTACATCAGGTCATAGAAAAAATCCAGCATGAAAATATAGCACTCAGGTGAATGTTGGGGGAAGTTATAAAACATATATCTGTCTAAAATGCAATTACTGTGATAAAGTTGTGAAGGGTGGTGTGACTAGGATGAAAGATCACCTTTCAGGGTCTCACAAGAATGTTGCTAAATGCTTCAAAGTTCCTGATACTGTAAGGGGGGAGATAAAGTCATACATAAATAAGTCTACTACGTCAAAACATCTTGCACAGAAGCAATTTAAGGATAGAGTTGATGTTAGCTCTTACTACGGGATTGAGCATAGCGTTAGGGATTCATCTTTTTCGATGAAGCCCATTTCATCTAGGGGTGCTAGAGGGTCTATGAATCATTATATGGTGGTCACATCAGAGAATATGCTTCCTACTACACAGAAGATGACCCCAGAAAATGCAAGGGAGGCACGGAGAAGAGTGTAAGGATATAGGCAGATTCCTCTATGAAAATGCAATTCAATTTAATGTTGCAACATCACCTGTCTATTACAACATGATTCGTTTAGTTGGAGCATTTGGGAGAGGGTTTAAACCTCCAATCATGTATGATTTGAGAACATGGATTCTGAAGGAGTTGGAAAGCACTGATAAAAGCATCGAAGAAATTAAGAGGACTTGGGCCCAAACAGGAGTAACAATTATGTCAGATGGGTGGTCTGATATTAAACATAGAAGTCTTATTAACTTTCTCATTAATAATCCTTATGGCACTATGTTTTTAAGATCAGTTGAAGCATCTGAACAGGTCAAAGATATTGAGTTCATATTTGGATTATTAGATAACATTGTTGAGGAGGTTGGAGAACATTTGGGTGTACATGTT